GCCATTAAGAGCATTCAATTCATGGGAGGAGATCGAAATATCAACATTAACAGGAGCTTGGAAGAAATAAGAGGGTTTCAAGACTTCAGAGGAGGAAGGAACTGCAGATAGGGTGAAAATAGCAAGAGAATTAGAAGTGGAGGAGTCTGGAGATGTGACTGAATTGCTGTAATCTCAGGATCAAACTTGTGTGGATGAACAGTTGCTTCTCATGGATGAAAAAAGAAAGTGATTTATTGAGATGGAATCTACTCCTGGTGAAGATGCTGTGAACATTGTTGAAATGACAACAAAAGATTTAGAATATTGCATAAACTTACCATTGGCAGGGTTCGAGAGGATTGACTCCTAATTTGGAAAAGTTCTACTGTGGGTAGGAAAAGTTCTACTGTGGGTAAATGCTATCAAACTGCATCATATGCTACAGAGGAATCTTTCATGAAAGAAAAGAGTTAATCAGTGCAGCAAACTCCACTGTCTTATTTTAAGAAATTGCCACAGCCATCCCAGGCTTCAGCAACCACCACCCTGATCCGTCTGCAGCCATCAACATTTAGGCGATACTGTCCACCAGCAAAAAGATTATCTCAATGAATGGTTGTTAGAATTTCTTAGCAGTAAGGTATTTAAAAAATATCGTTTACTACCCTCCTCTGACATGTAAAAGTATTTTAAAATTAATATGTGTACATTATTTTTAGGCATAACACTATTGCTCACTTAACCTATAGTATAAACCATTTAATATGCACTGAAAGAGCAAAAAATTCATGTGACTTGCTTTCTTGTGGTATTTGGTTTATTGCAGTGGTCTGGAACTGAACTCATAATATTTCTGAGGTATGCCTGTATTCAAAAAGCTGAGTGAAACCCCAATAAATCCATGATAGGACAGACTTCTGAAAACTAAAGACAAAGAAAAAAGCTTGAAAGCATCAAGAAAGAAATGACATCTTACCTATAGGGAAAAGTAACGCAAATGACAGATTTCTTTTTGGAAACCATGGAGGCAAGAAGGAAGTGAGACCAATTATTTTAGAGTGCTAAAAGAACTGTCAACTGGTGGCTGGGCACAGTGGTGCACACCTGTAATCCTAGCACTTTCGGAGGCCAAGGTGAGTGGATCACTTCAATTCAGGAGTTTGAGATCAGCTTGGCTAACATGGCAAAATTGTGTCTCTACTAAAAATTAAAAAAATTAGCTAGGCATGGTGGCCTATGCCTGTAATCTCAGCTACTTTGGAGGCTAAGGCATGAGAATCGTTTGAACGTGGGAGGTGGAGGTTGCAGTGAGCGAAAATCCTACCACTGCACTCCAGCCTGGGCAACAGAGACTGCCTCAAAACAAACAAACAAAACTGTCAACTCCAAATTCTGTATCTGGTGAAATGTTCCTTCAGGAATGAAGGGGTAATGCATTCTTGGATGATGGAAAACTAATATAATTTGTTGAATGGGTCTACCTTGTAGGCCTTGAATAAACCTACCCTAAAGGAAGGTCTTGAACCAGAAATGTTAAAAAAAAAAAAAAGTCTTGGAATGTCAGGAAGAATGACAGAAACAGCAAAAAATGTGCAAATACAATAGACTTTTTCCTTCTTGTGTTTTCTAAATTATTTGGTAGTGAAAGCCAAATTGTCTGATGTGGATCTCAATGTACATAGTAGATATATTTAAGACAATTATAGACTGGGGAGGGGACGAGCAAGAGAGTTAAGTTTTCTACATTTCACCCAGATTGGTAAAATGTTGACATCAACACATCTTTACATGGCAGTGAAGCACTTCTGTATCTCAAGTGTCTTGGTAGGGTTACAGGAAGATAAGATGGCATAAAATGATATATGCTGTGCAAAAATCAATTTCCTGTAGTTATGTAAGATGTATCTGTAAGGCCAGTTGCCTTGCCAGGAGCTCAGACACGCCCATCCTTCTCCATGCCTGAAAACTACGTCACCAGGATCTGCACTCAACACATGCTCACCTCTGCACTCCGCACCAGGATCTGCACTCAACACATGCTCACCTCTGCACTCCGCACCAGAATCTGCACTCAACACACGCCTAGTTCTGCACTACGCATCAGGATCTGCACTCAACACTAAACTCTGCACTTGGCACCTAGCCTGCCGTTGGAAAACACCACCAAAATTTAAAAGAAGCCCTGCCAAAAACTGCCCAATAGTACATTGCCCGTCCAGCCCTGCTCACCAGAAATACCGCCTACCTACCAATAGCAGCTCGCCCCATCCACGTCCTGTTTCTCCACAGCCAATCAAATGCCTTCACTCTTTATAAAACCCCATGCCAGAGAGAAGTCAGGCGTGACTTCTCTGGCCCCTTTCCCTGGGACCACAGAACCTCGCCGGGAGTTAAATTGGCATTGAATTGTTTTTATACTGGCCTCAGTTTCTTCATTTTAAACTCGGCAATAACCCTTACAAGTGGTGCCGAAACCCAGGAGGAGTTGTAAGGCCCCTCCTGGGGGAAACTGACTCCTTCATCTGAAGCCGGACCAGGGAACCGCTCCACCACAAGGTAAGACTTCTGTTACCCACAGCTGCTTCTGCTGCTTGCCTCATGGACTCCCTGCTCATAATCGTGGTCATGTCAGGGACTCCTTCCTGCTCCCCGCCATGGGCCCAGGGTCCTGGCCTTATCTCGAGGACCTGAGCATAGAGGAGACCTCCCTACACTCTTGTCTTCTCCCCATGAGGAGTTTCTCAGGGTCAGGATTCTGAGGGAGACGTCCCCACCTTCCTGAACCCTCTCATGTCCTCCAGTGTTCGGTAGCACGGCCTGGGACGCTTAGCCACTCTTCCGATCATCTCCACAGCAGCAGCTGAGGTTTGGGTATTCAGAAGCCCCGTTTGCAGACCAAGGCCCTGCCTAACAGCAGGACCATATCGCCGGTTTATGGTATTAAAACGTCTATCTCAAATCGGCCCTTTGGCATATAAACTCTCCTCCTAATCCTGAGTGAGTGAGTTCATGTGTAGTCCCACAGCCTAACAGCTACAGGGCTTGTGTGGGCCTCAACCCGTGGTTCCACAGGGACGTCATAAGGCATAACAGTGATTCACCTCAGGACTGAAAGTTCTGAGGTGACCATGCCTGGGGGTTATACGGGTACACCTTAGCCAAGATGCCCTGAAACATCCCTTTAGGGATGTGGCCGGGAAGGCATCAGAGTGGTCTCCCATCTGGGGGTACCCACCCTTTGTCCATCAATCCTATATGTGGTTCTGTCTCAGGTAGCCCTAGCCCTGTCTCTATTTTCTTTCTTGTCATAATCGTTGCAGCCTCTAAGTTCTCTCAGCCACCCCCCACCCCAGGAAAGGAGTACTTCTGCCCGTGTTAAGAAGTACTCTTTCCATATTCCTTTCTTACCCCTAACTACCCCACAAGAAAGTGAACCATGAGCAATCAAGTCCCTCCAAGACCCTAGATCGCCATTAGGATGCCTAGTCCAAAATCTACCCAAACTGGGTCTTTCCATTAAAAAGAAAAGGCTGCTTTTCCTCTCTACCATGGCCTGGCCACAGTACTCTCTGGACAACCAGTCTAAGTGGCCTCCAGAGGGCACACTTGACTTCAGTGTCCTGACAGATTTAGATAACTTTTGCCAAAGAACAGCAAATGGTCGGAGGTCCCCTATGTCCAGGCCTTTTGGTATCTGCGCTCCCAACCCACCCTCTGTTCCTCTTGTTCCTCTGCCCAGGTCCTGTTAGCCAAAACCCCGCCTTTGCCCTCAGCCCCACCCAGCTCCGCATTCTCAGAAAACTCGGAAGACCTGTCCTGCCCCACCTGCTTTACCAACCCCGCTCCTCATGCAAGGCCTCAACTCCCTCCTCCCTCTTCTCCTTCTCCTCCTCCCCAAAGCCCTAATATGACTTCCCTTGTCAGTGCTCACACCCGCTCTCACGACCCCCCCACTCCTCTGCCCTTTGCATGAGGTAGCTGGGGCAGAAGGCGTTGTCCAAGTACACGTTCCCTTCTCTCTGTCAGCCATTGAAAAATGCCTAGGGTCATTCTCTACCAATCCTACTGCTTATACCAAAGAATTTCGTTACCTCGCCCAGGCGTATGACCTCACCTGACATGACACCTATGTGATCCTGTCCTCCACTCTTACTCCAGATGAGCGTGACTGCATTCTTACAGCGGCCCAAGCACACGCAGATCAGGTACATCTCACAATCAATCAAATGCCAGTAGGCGCAGCGGTGGTCCCTGAGGCCAACCCTAATTGGGACTATCAAACTGGCCAAGATGGCCACAGCCACCGAGACCAAGTACCTCCTAGTGGGCATGCAAAGCGCAGCTCAAAAGATAATTATGACAAGTTAAGGGAACTAACTCAGGGTCCTGATGAAAACCCAGCTGCCTTCCTAGACTGATTAATACTATGATCCTCCATACCCGGCTGGATCCGGCCTCCTTAGCAGGGGCTACAGTCCTAGCCACCCACTTCATCTTCCAGTCGGCAGCTGATATAAGGAGGAAACTTTAAAAAGCTGAGGAGGGCCCCCAAACTCCCATATGGGACCTGGTGAACATGGCATTTAAAGTTTTCAATGGCCGAGAGGAAAAGGCTGAGGCCACCTGCCAGGTCCATTTACAGCAAAAAGCCTACAAACCCAAGCTTTTGTAGCAGCCCTGAGGCCAGCAGCCCACCGAACATCCGGTGGAGGTGATCCATCGAAACCCTCCCAAAATTCTTCAAAGGCCCCACCTGGGCCCTGTTTCAAATGTGGCCAGGAGGGACACTGGGCACGGTAGTGCCCCTGTCGTTGTCCACCTCCTAGACCCTGCCCAAGCTGCAAACAGACTGGACACTGAAAGGTTGACTGCCTGTCTTGGTCTGCAGGAAGCAATCCCTTCACTTGAACTTCTCGGCCTTCTGGACGACTGACACAGCCCGGACTCGAGGACCCCCATCACCCTTGCTGAGCCCAGGGTAACGCTGCAGGTAGCGGGTAAGTCCATTTCCTTTTTAGTGGATACAGGGGCTACCTATTCTCTACTGCCTTCCTACTCAGGACCTAACATACCTTCCCAGGTTTCAGTCATGGGGATTGATGGAAAGCTCTCCTGTCCCAACCAAACTCATCCCTTAGCCTGTGTCCTTGAGGGAAACCCCTTCTCCCACTCCTTTCTAATCATACCCTCATGCCCAGTCCCCTTTTTAGGAGGAGATATTCTCCAGACTGTAGGGGCCACCCTCCAGGTCACTGGCTCCCCACATTCAAGCCCATCCTTTGCCCACCTCCTGTTTTCCTAACCAGTATCACGCCCTGTCTTGACCCCTCACCTCAACCCCCTATCCCTCCTAATGAAGTTAATCCCTTGGTATGGGATACCTCCAAGCCTGTTGTGGCCAGACATCACATACCAGTTAAAATACTTCTCAAAAACCCTACCCACTTACCTTCACGTCCTCAGTTTCCCATCTCAAAAACCCACCACCAGGGCCTAAAGCCTATCATCACCCGACCTCTGGCCCAGGGACTCCCTATCTTACTGGTTCAAAAGTCGACTGGTGACTACTGCCTAGTTCAGGACCTGGACCTCATCAACGAGGTGGTGGTACCCCTCCACCTGGTGGTCCCCAACCCATACACCTTATCCAACATTCCCTCCACTACCTCTCATTTTATGGTTCTTGACCTCAAGGACGCCTTCTTTACTATTCCCTTTCACCCAGAGTCTTACTTCCTCTTTGCCTTCACCTGGACCGATCCTGACACCAACCTGTCACAGCAGCTCGCCTGGACGGTCCTGCCCCAGTGATTGAGACAGCCCCGATATTTTTGGACAAGCCTTAGCAGCTGACCTTAGTTCCTGCTCCCTCCCCAGTATGTGGATGACCTATTACTTTGTAGCCCCTTCCTCTCCTTGTCTCAACAGCACACTACCACTCTCCTTAACTTTCTTGGATCCCAGGGGTACCAGGTATCTTACTCTAAAGCACAGTTGTCAGTCACCTCAGTAGTCTACTTAGGCATTTGCCTCACCCCCAAAACTTAAAGCCTAACAGCCAACCGCCAGCAGGCAGCTCTTTCACTGCAGCCCCCAGAGACTGCAGCCCAGATTCTCTCCTTAGGATTTGTAGGATTCTTCCGTCACTGGGTACCTAAATTTGCCACTCTAGCTAAACCTCTGTAATGTGGTGGCTAAGGACACACCCACGGGACCCCTCTCTCATCCTGGAGTTGTAAAACAAGCTTTCAAAACTCTACAAATTGCTCTGTCCATGGCACCTCCACTTCAACTGCCAGACCTTATCCATCCCTTCTACTTGTTTACTGACGAGAAACAAGGTGTTGCAGTTGGAGTCCTAACCCAACCCCTAGGTCCTGTGTATCGTCCTGTAGCATATTTATCAAAACAACTTGATCCCACAGTCAGGGGATGGCAGCCTTGCCTGTGGGCCCTGGGAGTGGCAACAGAACTTACCAAAGAATCCCTAAAACTTACCTTGGGCCAGCCCATCTTGGTGTTCTCTCATCAGCTAACTGACCTTCTCTCTCACAAATCCCTCACTCACCTAGGACCCTCTCGCCTACAGGAGTTTCTTCTACTCTTTATTGAAAATCCTTCAGTCAGCCTTCATCCCACTTCTTCACTCAACCCATCTACTTTGCTTCCCCTTCCATCCCATTCCCCCTCCCCAGCCCATTCCTGCCCTGAACTAATAGATGCATTTGCTAAACCTCGGGAGGGCCTGTCTGACCTTCCCCTATCTAACCCAGGCTTTACCTTTTATGTAGATGGGAGTTCAATAGTGACAGCCGAGGGGCGGCAAAAAGCAGCCTATGCAGTAGTCACTGACTCAGCCACCCTTGAGGCATGTCGCCTCCCCGATGGAACCACCTCACAAAAAGCAGAGCTCATTGCCCTGACCCGGGCTCTCACCCTAGCACGGGTAAAGCGGGCAAATATCCATACCGATTCAAAGTATGCTTTCCTTATTACCCACTGTCATTCTGCCCTCTGGAAAGAGCGGGGATTACTTACCACCAAGGGGTTCCCCATAATCAATGATACCCAAATCTCTAATCTCCTACAGGCCCTGTCACTGCCCAAAGAAGTTGCTGTCCTTCACTGCCGAGGGTACCAAGCCCAGCAGGATGCTGTTTCCCAGGGCAATGCAAGGGCAGACGCAGCAGCAAAATCCTTAACTAATACCAGGCCAGCCCCCACTCCAGTCCTTTTCCTCACCACAGCCATGCCGCCAATTTACTTGCCATCAGAGAAACAGGCCCTCATATTAAAAGGGGGGACCAAGTCTGGTCAGGGCTGGATCTTCCTAGACAACAAAATCGCCCTTCTCCAGGAACAGGTCCCAAAGGTCATTGCTGAAATCCACGAATCCTTACATATAGGGCCCAAAGCATTGCACCACTTCGTGCAGCCCCTCTTTTTCTCACCAGGTCTGCAACAGACAATTGAGCAAGTACACAAGGCATGCGTTACCTGCTCTAAGGTCTCGTCTCAGGGAGGCTTAAGGCCACAGTTTCCTACCTACCAAATGTGTGGCCACCTGCCAGCCCAAGACTGGCAGATTGATTTTACCCATATGCCCACTCAAAAATCTCTGCTACTTTCTAACCTTTGTAGATACCTTTTCTGGATGGATTGAAGCCTTTCCCATCTCCCGGGAAACTGCAGACATGGTGGCCTCCCTCTTAATTCAGGAAATCATCCCTCGTTTCGGCTTACCAGGAAATATCCAGTCAGACAACAGTCCAGCGTTTACAGCTTAGGTGGTCCAGCTGGTCACCAAGTCTCTCAACATCTGGAAACTACACATCCCCTACCACCCTCAGTCGTCGGGTAAAGTTGAACGGGCTCACAGCATCCTCAAAGACCATTTGGCCAAACTTACTATTGAGGTAAAACTCTCCTGGCCCACACTCCTGCCTCTTGCTGTAACCTGGGTCAGCCCCTTTGAATTGTTGTACAGCTGGCCCTTCCTGGTCTCCCATAATCTCCTGGTACAGCCACCTCCCCTAGCCTCCTACCTCCCCTATTTCTCTCTCCTCCGCCACTTACTCAGGGAGCACGCAGACCTCACCCTCCCAGTTGTTCCAGGACCAGAGGACTTCCACCCAGTGATGCCTCTCCAACCAGGCAACAGCGTTCTCTTCCGAGAACTCAAACCAGGATCCTTGCAACCCAGGTGGTCGGGACCTCACATTGTTATCCTAACCACCCCCACAGCAGCCATACTCCTAGGCCACACTCTGTGGTACCATGTGTCCCACCTCAAACTGGCCCCCCAAAATAATCAGTGGAAATCTGAACCCTTGGGCCCCACTTGCCTCCGCCTCACCTGTAACCCCTACCCATCAACTCCTAACCCTTCAAATTCTCCTCCTAAGAATCCTTCTGGGGTCCCCTCTTAAAGCCAACTCCTACTCTATCTGGCAGTTCTACCTTCAGGAGTCCTGGACGGAAGACCCCACTACTAAAACCCAATACCTTGCCCAAGCAGATTGCCAGCCCGCAGGCTGCCAATAAGCCATAAAATTTGAATTCCCAAAATCCAAGGCCAATACTATCATAAACTCCTGGAATAACTTTGGCCTCTGCTTTCTAAATGACCAAACCAAAGACTCCTGTCATTTGTGGAACGATACCTATGGTGGATGCCCGTATGCTTCTTGTGTTATACACACAACCTTCAGAACAGACACCACCCCAAAAAGTAGAATGCTCTTTGCCAATGACCAAGGTAAAGTGTCCCTTATCCACGATCCCTGGGAAGCCTGCTGGGAAAAGGGTACTGCAGGTAAAATATATACCAGGTTTACAGACAGCCACCCCAGTGGTACGTGGCTAATATTTTGGTCCTAAACCCGCATTGTGCCGGTGGAAATAGACTGACTTAAGTTGTTAAGCAACACCATCCTGCAGAATGAGGCCACCTTAACTAATCAACTCAAGCCCTCGAGCAACACTCCCCAGCCTTTCTCTTGGTTAACGCTAGTACAGCAAGGTGTTAACATGTTGAGCTTAACCGAAGCCAAAAACTTCACTAATTGCTTTTTATGTGCCTCCCTTAACAAACCCCCCTTAGCAGCAGTTCCCCTCCGGACCGGGTTCGGCCAGTCACAATCACCCAGGGGGCCTGATACCACCTTAACAGGTATCCCCTTGTTCAAAGTACATTCTCAAAATCTCTCTCTGCTATGGGACAGCCAGCAGCCCCAGCCTCAGGTGCAATACCATGGTAGAAGTAAAATCCTCCCTTTACCTGCCTCCAGGAGGATTATTTTGGTGTAATGAAACCCTAACCAAAGTTATTGATGCCTCCCTCTTCCCCTGTATGCCCGTCACACTAGTCCCGCAGTTAGAAGTGTACGGACAAGCCGAGTTCCTATCCCTCATCGTGCCATCCCCTAATCACCAGAGCAAATCACCAGGCCAAAAAGTTGGCCTCTCTTTAGCATCCTCTCTAGCAGCAGCTGGAATAGGGAGCAGCGCCATGGGCTACAGTGTCACTTCAGCCACTCAACTGGAAGACAAGCTCCGTGTGGCTACTGAAGCATCAGCCACCTCTTTAGCTTCCCTCCAGCGACAAATCACGTCGCTGGCTCAGGTAACTCTCCAAAACTGACGGGCCCTAGACCTACTGATGGCAGAAAAAGGAGGTACCTGTCTGTTTCTCCGGGAGCAGTGCTGCTATTACATCAATGAAACAGGCCTTGTGGAAGAAAATGTCAACATTCTGTATTGCCTCCAAGAGAACCTCCGCAGGAAGCAGAGCATACCAGCCTTGTCTCTCAACTGGTAGCAATCCCCCATGTTTACCTGGCTAGCTCCCATTATCACCCCCATTATCCTTGTGTGCCTTCTAATGCTAGCCCCTTTTTTCCTCAGGTTTTTACAGGCACGCATGAGGGAAATCTCCAGGATGGCCATAAACCAAATGCTACTTCACCCCTACTTCCAACTCCCAACTGAGGCACTAGCCAACTGACCCCCCTCCGCCCCTATTCAGCAGGAAGTAGCCAGAAAGAAGAGGCGTCCTATAGTATCAAAAGGGTAAGAATGTAAGGCTGGTTGCCGTGCCGGGAGCTTAGACACGCCCATCCCTCTCCACGCCTGAAAACTACATTACCAGAATCTGCACTCAGCACACGCCCACCTCTGCACTCAGCACCTAGCCCACTGTTGGAAAACTCCGCCAAAATTTCAAAGAAGCCCCGCCAAAACCTGCCCAGTAGCACATTGCCCCATCCAGCCTGCTCACTGGAAATCCTGCCTACCTACCAATAGCAGCCCACCCCGCATGTCCTGTGTCTCCACAGCCAATCAAATGCCTTCACTCCCTATAAAACCCCACACCTGAGAAAAGTCAGGTGAGACTTCTCTGGCCCCTTTCCCCAGGACCACAGTATAAGAACTCTTGCCTGGGAGTTAAATAAATTGGCATTTAATTGTTCTTATACTGGCCTCAGTTTCCTCATTTTAAACTCAGCAATAACCCTTACGGTATCTGTACTGTCTTTTCAACTCCCTGTAAGTCTTTAATTGTTGCAAAATCAAAAGCTTTAAAAAGTATAGTATAACAGTGTTGAATATGCTGCTTTAAAAGGGACACGCGGTTATAGTGGCTTAGATAAAAAAGGGAGGACAAGGATGAGGTGACAATCCTTCTCCCTGAATAATTCCAGCTGAAAATTAAACATATCTCTTCCCAAATATTTTCATTTATCTTCTAGGTATATTTATCTCTTACAATTTATTAGAAAGCTAGTTAATAATAGAGATAACTAAAGAGATAACTAATTTTTATGCAAACCCATCACAGTGTATTGAAACTGATACTTTTGTGCTGCTAACATTTAGTGAAAATAGTTTTAGTAAATAAAATCTCCACTTATTTCAGTGAAAATGGCGAGAAAAATGTAATCAAGTCATAAGATTATCCTGCTACGTGAAATAAGCTGCTCCCCAAAGGACTGTGTCAAGATTGGTTTCAAATAGAAAATATCTCCTATTTTAGATATATTTAGATTATAATTACCTGGGAGTTGGCAAACTTTCTCTTTTCTGTAAAGTGCCAGCTGCTAAATACCTTAGGCTGTACAGGCTTTCAGATCTCTGTCACAACTATTCATCTGTGCAGTGTAGCGTAAAGGCATCCACAAACCGTAAACACACAGGTGTGGCTGTTCCAATAAACCCTTCACCAAACAGGCAGCACAGGCCACACACAGTATGCTGACCCCTGTACTAGCTCATCTCAGGTTACCTGTCCTCTATTAAAAAAGAAATCCAAAATTAAGTTACACAAAAGTAATTCTTAAAAATTACTGTGTTTTGGACATTAAAATGGGGCCAAAGGTAGAATCCACTGAGATAAAAGTTCTTGACAAACAGGAAACCTGAATGATTCTGTCCTTTGTTCTGCTGGTACCTAGCTGTGAGCTCTTGGGCAAATCACATATTCTCTCAGATTCCATTACGGCATCTCTAATTTGAAAAAGTAGAGGAGGGATTCCTTCCAATTTTGTTATACAATTCAGTTCAGCAAACGTACTCCCACTGTTACCAACAAAAGTTTCAAAGAGACTCATTTAAATAATTTACAACATAGTTCTGGTTAGGCATGATGAGCTAAAAATGAGAGCTGGAGTATTAACAGCAAAACAATAAAGAGTATCCAAAAAACAGCAGCATCAGAAAACGTGAAATACCCAGGGATAAAGTTAACAGATGTACAGGATATCTGTATTGAAATATATAACACTGCTGAGAAAAAATGAAATGAAAAAACATGTTTAATGGATTGGATGACTTAATATTGTTAAAGTGTTAAATCGATTTATAGATTCAGTGACTACTAGTCAAAATGCACAAATCTTTTTCTGGGAGTAGTGTGTAAGAAATGCAAAAGACCTAGAATAAACAAAGCAATTTGCAGAAAAAGAAATTAGAATGTCTGTTTTACCTGAACTCAAGACTTACCAAGTTTTCACAAAAAAGATAAACAGAATGGAACAGAAAACTAGATCCACAGCTATGAGGTCAAACGTTTTCACACAAGGGCACCAAAACAATTTAATGGTGGAAGGAGAATCTTTGACAAGTGGTGCTGGGACCACTAAACATTCAGTAGAATGTTCAAAGGTAGGCATTTTTATATGCCTACTTCATGGCATATAAAAATACTAATTCAAGGTGAATCACAACCCTGAATATTCGCTACAACTATTTTACTCCTAGGAAAAATAAGACAGTATTTTCATGAATTTGGGGTAGGTAAAGACTTCTTAAAGAGCACACAGAAAGCATTAACTATATATGTAAAAAAAAAAAAACTGATAAAGTGGATTTCACCAAAACTAAACCCTTCTAAACAGGTACTATAGAGAAAACAAGCCATAGAGTGGGAAGATATTTGTGATACATCAATCTGACAATCCTTTATGTCCAGAATGCACAAAGGAGTCTTACCCAATTAAAAGGAAAAAAAACACAAGAAAAGTACTCTCTATTAGTCATCAGGCAAATGCAAATTAAACCACCATGAGATACCACCACATACCTTGGAGCATGGTTAAAATAAAGGTGGACAACACCAAATGTCAGCAGAGATGTAAACAACCAGAGTACAATGTGCTGGCAGGAATGGAAAATAGCACAGTGGTTTTAGAAAACTGTTGGGTAGTTTCTTAAAAAGTTAAATATACAGCTACCATAAGACCTAGCAGTTCTACTCCTAGCTTTTTGAAAACATGTTCACAAATAGCCCTGTACAAGAATTTTTATATTTATAATAGCTCCAAAGTGAAACAGCTCAGGGGTACATGAACAGAAGGATAGCTACATAAACTGTCATGCATTCAAACAGCACAAAACAATAAAAAGGAACAAACCAGGCTGGGCATGGTGGCTCATGCCTGTAATCCCAGCACTTTGGGAGGTCGAGATGGTTGCATCACTTGAGGTCAGGAGTTCAAGACCAGCCTGACTAACATGGCAAAACCCTGTCTCTAATTAGTCGGGTGTGATGGTGCATGCCTTTAATACCAGCTACTTGGGAAGCTGAGGCAGGAGAATTGCTTGAACCCGGGAGGTGGAGGTTGCAGTGAGCCAAGATTGTGTCACTGCACTCCAGCCTGGGCAACAAGAGTGAAACTCCCATCTCAAAAAAACCAGAAAAGGAACAAACTGCTGATATAAGCACTGACACAGATGAATCTTAAAGACACCATGCTGAGTTACAGAAGGCAAATGGTGCATGCTGTATGATTCCAGCTGTTTGACTTTGGGGATAAGGAAAACTAATCTGCAACAGAACAGGAGTGTGGTTAAAGGGGTAAACATTTGTCAAGCCTGATTAGACTGTATGCATTTAGATCTGTACATTTCATATGTAAATTATATCCCCCTTCTCTCTAAAACACAACAATAGTGATTAAAACTCTTGAGGTTAAGATTAAGGTGTTCAATCTAGCTTTTTAAATTCTGTAACAAATCAAATGTACAAGGTGGCCAATCTTGGGAATAAATACAATACATGGCTATTTTTCATTTTTATCAATTCAAATTGAGGTATGAGTTTAAAATGTATTTTTGATTAGTTTGCTGATGCCAGTCATCTTTCTCCCATCTAGATTCACGTATGTTGGTGTCCATGGATTGGTACTTATTTCTTCTAAACATGCGTAAGCGTCTATGGACTGAGAATTATAATCCACTGTCTAACATTATCTAAGTGATCTCTATAATCCTTTAATACATTTTTCTTCCAAACTGAGGTTAGCCGGAAAAGTTTAAGAGATTCAATAATGAGCAGCTGTCCTTCATCTATACCACTACTAGAGAAAGGTATTAATTACCTCTTAGTTTTCATGTGAAAACAATAAAACATAACAATCAAATGTGATTTCCCAACTAAAACTACTTATACATTTTGCATATTTCATAAACGTCTCATCACACCAAAATATTGTTGAATTATAGTTAAAACTGGATTTCTAAACCATGAGTAAACCCAATTTAGTCCTTTATAAATTTGGTGATAGAAAAAAATGAATGTTGATAGCTTTAGATAAGTGTAGAGTTAGCTGGCAGCCATTAATAGATTTTGTTTGGCCTAATATTATGAAGGCTTTTCATGCTTGGTTTAACACATCTTATAAACCAAAAAATGCCAATTTACCTTTACAAGTGTATTTCTGAAGGACTTCTTAAAAAAGCATCCTATGACTCTATTTAAGGCACAACAGCAGCTAAGGATATGCAGCAAACTTAAGTGGCCAACTCAAAACATTTTTCACAAATACAGCAATTAAATATTAAGTATTTTTAGTATAAAATGGTTTTGAAAAAGCCCAAATGATTCTGATTTTAAAACCTGATGACAGATCCATCTTATCAAGTACAAACATGTCATTCAATGATGGGTAGTTTTTCCTGGTCACCTCCTCCCTATTTTCTCAGAGAGTTACTTACACAAATTATACTGTTTTACTTCTTCCAAGACTTACCTGAGGCTCAACACTGTGTCCATGGGTATTCATTAAAAACTCTTATCACGGTGGCACCATTTCTTCTGCTTTTTAGAGCTTGTTTAGAATGCTAGATTCTAAGAAACTGTATAAGTAAAGCCAATTTAGTGAGAAAACAGTGAGACCTGGTTGTCTGAACTGCCTGAATTTCATCTAATGGTGGAATGAGCACTCCCAGGTGCTTTGACAGGTTCACACAGCAGGGCTGGGTGAGATTACTGATTTTGTAAATGTCTATGACATTTACACACACTTGTGTATTTACTGCACATACTTTAAAATAGTGGTTAGGTGCTGTCATTTTCATGATTTTGACAGCGGAGAAACTATGCTAGGGAGAGAGCTTTGTACAACACCCTAATCAGAACAGGAAGGGACAGGTCTGAGTTGTTCATAGCGCAGAGCAAGGCATGGCTATGGTACACAGCACACAGGTGACAGGCAAATATTTAATGCACTGAGCCTAATAAAAGATAAATAAGGACTCTCAGACTTTTGTGTGTGAGAAAGATATTTAGTTACTTTAAGGTGTTCGGCATACGCTTTTACATTTCCTTTTTTTTTTTTGAGACGGAGTTTCGTTGTTGTTACCCAAACTGGAGTGCAATGGCACAATCTCGGCTCACTGCAACCTCCGCCTTCTGGGTTCAAGCAATTCTCCTGCCTCAGCCTCTTGGGTAGCTGGGACTACAGGCACGTGCCACCATGCCCAGCTAATTTTTGTATTTTTTTTTTTTTTAGTAGAGACGGGGCTTCACCTTGTTGACCAGGATGGTCTCGATCTCTTGACCTCGTGATCTACCCGCCTCGGCCTCCCAAAGTGCTGGGATTATAGGCGTGAGCCACCGCGCCCAGCCAACATTTCCATTTTTTAATAGGACTTCACTGGTCACTGTGGGGCCAGGATACGACTGAACTGTTCAGTCCTGATCAAATGAAACTATTAGTACTTTCTTATAAATCTTTTTGGGACAAAGTATCTCCCTTACAAAATCCAGTGTAAATATTTTTTGGGCAAAGTAAATCTTTATAAATACTGTCATTTTATGCCTTTTCCTAGCATAGCTTGAGGACTGATGATAAGAAACTCAACAGAAGCAGAGGCTCAGTGGTCGGCATGAAGACTTTCTCTGCTCTAGGAGATTTTACTCACTTTGGGACAAAAACAATATAGTAGCATCTTTTCACTGACCAAGGTTACAAGATTGTTGATCAGATCACACTGATACCTACAGTGGCCAAAATTAAATGAGAAGAATGGTGTGTGTGTGCAAGGAAGTGGCAGGGGTAGAGCATGTTAGTGCAGATGAATTTGAGTGTGCTATGATGAAGGAAGCAGCTGAAGAGCTGACAATTAAACACAGAATAATTTCAGAGGTGAAAAATTACCACCTCTCTTACTAGTGACATGGAAGAGAAAAAAAAAAATTAGGATTTTTTTCACTGACAGGTTACACATATTGAGGCAAAAACAGACAACAGAAGCCAAATCAAGTCAACATAAAGCAGTAGGAAAATATAAAAATAAGACATTATCGAACTTTAGTAAATGTTATTCTAGGTCTCAAAAATATAGATGTCTATAGATATAGATTTGTTTTTGGCAAAACAAATCTAAAGTGAAAAAGTATCAATTTTTGTAAAGATATGAACATATATGCAGATATAGATAACACATGAATAATGCAAGGGATTTACAGAAATGTAGTTTTGGCACTTTTACTTGGATTTTTTGAAGAAAGTGAATACAAATATCATTGTACACAAATTCCCATTCTGGAGAAACAGGATGTAGAATTAAAAGGTGAAAACATCTCCCTTCTTAAAAATAACATTGAACGGGTAACTGTACCTGTTAAATCTCCTGGTTGGCAACTTTTAAAATCTGACTTCCACCTAACTCCACAAATTTGACAGTTATTTTGTTTGTGTAAGTGATACTGGTTATCCACTTCCAGTATATGTACCATTTGGCCAGAGGTTCTATAAATAATATTTTCAGTGTAGAAATCTTGAAGTACTGCTCAGTAGATAAATTCTCCTGGAATTTCTTGTAGCAATGGTTCCTCAAATTTAAATCGTTTGGAAATGGCCTTTTGCTCCATTTTCTCTTTTTCAGACTGTCTGCATTGTCCTAGAGTATATGAAGTAACTACAATCAACTCTTCGGTTACAATGGATTCCTTGGTTTCTGGTTTGTCAGCATCTGAATTAATTTCAGGCATAGAATGACCTTCTTGGAGGGCATTTGCTGCTTCTTGTGCCTTTTCCATCCTGAAAGAAGCCTCCTGAATACTGCTCTGTGTCAACCAGGGGTGCTTTAGACATTCTTCAGCAGTGGCTCGATCTCTGTAAAGATACATGTATTACGGTTAAGACACGTTAGAACTTCAATTAAAATTAGAGCATATATTTTGGGAAGTATGAAAAGCTGGCAAAAGTCTTAGTGTGATTCCTGAATAAAACTATTAGTTTTGGAGTTTGGGTATAATTTTCCAAAATGTTGAAATATTTTAAGTTATCCCTGAAATGCTCTCAAGAGACACCAAGAACAGATTAAGTGTCTGCTAGAGTTTAGCTGTCAAAATTTTACTGTCAATTTCTACTCACCATGAATTATGTGCCATTTACTGCCATGACACATTTGCAATAATACAATTTTGCTAATTAATATTTAAATCCTGTTAAACAGAGGTATGGTTCACTTTTTTTTTTAAGACGGAGTCTTGCTCTGTCGCCAGGATGGAGTGCAGTGGTGCAATCTCGGTTTACTACAACCTCCACCTCCTGAGTTCAAGTGATTCTTCCACCTCAGCCTCCCAAGTAGCTGGGACCACAGGTGTGTGCCACCATGCCCGGCTAATTTTTGTATTTTTAGTAGAGACAGGGTTTCACCATGTTGGCCAGGATGGTCTCGATCTCTTGATCTCATGATCCGCCCACTTTGGCCTCCCAAAGTGTTGGGATTACAGGCGTCAGCCACCGCACCCAGCCATGGTTCACATTTGCTAAAAATATTTTTGTTTTTGCCTCCTTTTCTTTCAACAGATGTATTAAGCCAAGGGTCACCTAGTTTTATGTCAACATTTTTGTGTTTCCATTTTGGTGTTTTAGATGTTGAACTATTTTTGGTTGGAGCAGATTCAATAAAAAACTGACAAGATCAGTATTAAAACTAATACTTACTCAGGTTTCTTAACTAAAAGTGCCCTGATGAAGTCAACAGCTGACTCAGACAAAATATCAAATTCTTCCTCAGAATAACTTAAATTCATCTGTGAGATGTTTAAGAATGTTTCTTGTTTATTATTGCCTAAGAAAGGTGATATTCCAGTAAGCATGACATATGTTAACACTCCAATGCTCCTAAATTAGAAAGAAAATGTAAGAAAAATTAGTACCATACTCATTTCTTGAAACTAATTTGATCAATTTTTCATTAGTAACACTTACCACATATCTGTTGCCATGCTTATAGGATCATAACTAAGAATTTCAGGAGCTAGTATCAGAAAGAGAAGATACCATTTAGCTTTGTGCAAAAAATTCCTAATTTGCTTTTAGAGATAAAGTATTATAAACTATAAAGCACATTTGGGCTAAAATGAAAGGTTACCACAAATTAATATAGAACCTAACTAGATGTTTGTAATTAACTTGTTTACTTTTCATACTTCTACCCACCATTGTTGAGTCCTAGTGTTTTACAAATATTTAAATATTTTAAAAACACCAAATATAAACTGACAATTTCTGACACCTTTCTCTTTCACACCCTCTGTAATCAAACATTGTCTCTATCAGATTATGGCTTTTAAAGCTTTCTCATTGCCACTGACATTTCTGCCTCCCCATTGGCCCACTCTTGTCCATGGTACTTTGTCCTCTTACCTGGGCCTTTTCAACTACTTGTCCCACCCCTCTGATCTTTTCTTTACGTTGCAGTCAGAGTGAGCTTTTTAAAACATCTACCCATTAACAGAAAGTCAGCCAACAAAGTTAAAACAAAAATTGAGCATTCTGAGACTACAGGCATGGGACAAAGTTAACTAAGTTGCATCTATAGGACTAAGAAAGGTAATATGCTTTGAGGCTGGGTGCCCAGCAGTTTGCAAGGACAAGGCAGGAGGATCGCTTGAACCAGGAGTTCAAGACCAGCATGAGCAACATAGTGAGACCTTGTTTCTATAAAAAGTAAACAAAACTCAGTTGAGTGTCACGGTGCATGCCTGTAGACCCAGCTAATGGGGAGGCTGAGGTGGGTGGATTGCTTGAGCCTGGGAGGTTGAGGCTGCAGTGAGCCAAGATAGTGCGACTGCACTCGAGCCTGGGTGACAGAGACCGTGTCTCAGAAAAAAAAAAAGCTTTGATATAAAGCAAATTGCTGCCACACATAAACACAATAGAAAGACTGTCAAATATGCAAGGATTCAGGAAAAATATAAAAATCTACTCATAATCCAGTTAACTAAAGATGATCTTTTTCAAAACTATACAAATAAAGAGGCTAAACTATTAAAAGGGAGTCAATAAGTACTGAATCCATGGGAAAACAGATCAGAGACTAAAACACTGTGGTAATTACGATGTAAAAAAAGGAATGAAAATGTTCTAGTTCTATGAAAAGACTAAATACTCAAAGTCATGTATCTACTGCTTTGTTTGTGACAAACCCTCATAGAATAAATGAGTGGGAGGAAGAGGTTAGAAAGGAAATGCTAGGTATGCTAGTTTCCTAAATTTTGATTTCTAAAATGGCTGAGAAACAGAAGTTGAGAATGTTACTTATAGGTTTTAGAAGAAATGACTAGGAATTAAAAATGAAATGCATAGCATCCAAATTACTGGGGATGAAACAGTAAAACAGACCACATAGCAAGACTGTGGGAGGAGAGGTACAGGAAATACCAATAGCTTCCTTTATTGAGTGGTTATCATGTGCTGAATACTGGTTTAAGGGCTTTGTATAGCAAATACAATTAAATCCTTACAAATTCCCTGTGAGGTTGGTACTATTACTAGCCCCATTTTATGGACAGAGGAATCTGAGGTATAAAGAGATTTAAGGGCCACGGTCACATAGAAGGCAAATACAGGGGTAGAGGAGAGACCTACTCAAGATGGCGCGGTGAGAACAACCCAGGATTGAAGCTATCGGTGAATGCGCGGAGGGTGAGTCAGGGCCACATTTCCAGACGGATCTTTGTTGCCCACAGAACGGGGAAATCCCCAGGTATAAAAGAGATGCGGGATGCCAGCGCAGTGGTTTTGGCTGGTGCAGCCGGCGGCTGGTGATACAGCGCAGTGGCGCTCCACAGCGCTCTGCACAAAGCGCACTGGTCCGGGTGCCCTGTTTAATCGGCAATCTAAGACTTGAGAGGGCAGATTGGCATATCCATCTGATTGAATGGGACTTGGACAGTGAGCCAGGCCAGGAGATTTCAGGGAAACGGCGTTTGGGCCAGTGCTGTGGGACAAACAAAACGGCGATTCCAAACGCTCCGGGTGGAGAGTTTAACTGTGGGCACAGCTGAACCCAGAACGGTGCAGCTCGGTGGGGGGGGGGGGGTGTCCGCCATTACCGAGGCAATCCGCCCCTATTGAGGTTACACTCCCATTGCTGACACAGCCTGCGGTTGCCAAGGCAACCCGCCACAATAGAGAGACTCCGCCGCAGGGCGTAGCCCATAGCAGCAGGGCGGAGACCGCAGCAGCAGGGCAGAGCCTGCAGCAACAGGGCGGACCTCACACCAGCAGGGCAGAGCCTCAGCAGGGAAATAGTGACTAGACTGCCTCCTAGCTGAGCAGGACAGCGCAATGGACACTCATAAAGAAAGCCCCAACCCCCCCAAGACAGAGCATCTGAGAAAAAAAGGGTTTTTTTTTAATGAGTTCTGCTGCAGCAGAATTAAACGTAGCAGCCTAACAGCCCTGAATGAACAACAGAGCTCACAGCTCAGCAACTGAGCTCCTATAAAGTACAGACTGTCTCCTCAAGCAGCTCCCTGACCCCTCTATATCCAGAAGACTGATATTTGGCAGGCATCATTCTGGGACAAAGATAGCAGAAAAAGAAACTGGTAGCATCCCTCACTGTTCGCAGCTGTTATAGGTGCACCCCAGACAAGCAGGGCCTGGAGTGGACTTCAGCAGTCGTACAGTGGAGGGGCTAGACTGGTAGAAGGAAAACCAAGTAACAGAAAGACCTCATCATCACAATCTGGGCATCCACTCAGAGACCCAATCGAAAAGTCAGCAACTACTCAGACGACAGGTGGATAAATCCACAAAGATGGGAAGAAACCAGCGCAAAAAGGAGGAAAACACCCGAAACCAGAACACCTCACCTCCTACAAAGGACCAAAACTCCTCACGAGCAAGGGAACAAGGCTGGACAGAGAATGACTGTGACGAAATGATGAAATTAGACTTCAGAAGGTGGATAATGAGAAACTTTTGTGAGCTAAAAGAACATGTTTTAAATCAATGCAAAGAAACTAAGAACCTTGAAAAAAGATTCGAGGAAATGATAACAAGAATGGGCAACTTAGAGAAGAATATGAATGAATTGAAGGAGCTGAAAAACACGACACGAGAACTTCGCGAAGCATGCACAAGTTTCAACAGCTGAATTGACCAAGCAGAAGAAAGGATATCAGAAGTCGAAGATCAACTCAATGAAAGAAAACGAGAAACCAAGATCAGAGAAAAAAGCGCAAAAAGGAATGAACAAAGCCTCCAAGAAATGTGGGACTATGTGAAGAGACCTAACCTACGTTTGATAGGTGTACCAGAATGTGACAAAGAGAATGAATTCAAGCTGAAAAATACTCTTCAGGACATTATCCAGGAAAATTTCCCCCACCTAGCAAGGCAGGCCAACACTCAAATGCAGGAAATACAGAGAACACCACAAAGATATTCCGCAAGAAGAGCAACCCCAAGGCACATAATCATCAGATTCACCAGGGTTGAAATAAAGGAGAAAATACTAAGGGCAGCCAGAGAGAAAGGTCGGGTCACCCGCAAAGGGAAGCCCATCAGACTCACAGCAGATCTCTCGGCAGAAACACTACAAGCCAGAAGAGAGTGGGGGCCAATATTCAACATCCTTAAAGAAAAGAACTTTCAACCCAGAATTTCATATCCAGCCAAACTGAGCTTCAGAAGTGAAGGAAAAATAAAATCCTTTGTAAATAAGCAAGTACTCAGAGATTTTGTCACCACCAGGCCTGCTTTACAAGAGCTCCTGAAAGAGGCACTACACATAGAAAGGAACAACCAGTACCAACCATTCCAAAATCACACTAAATGCTAAAGAGCATCAACAAAATGAAGAATCTACATCAACTAACTAGCTGGGCAAAACAGCCAGCTAGCATCAAAATGGCAGTTTCAAATTCTCACATAACAATATTAACCCTAAATGTAAATGGACTAAATGTACCAATCAAAAGACACAGACTGGCAAATTGGATAAAAAACCAAAACCCATCAGTGTGCTGTATCCAGGAAACCCATCTCACATGTAAGGATACACAAAGGCTCAAAATAAAGGGATGGAGGAAGATTTACCAAGCAAATGGAGAGCAAACAAAAGGAGTTGCAATTCTCATCTCTGATAAAATAGACTTTAAAGCAACAAAGATCAAGAGAGACAAAGAAGGCCATTACATAATGGTAAAAGGATCGATACAACAAGAAAAGCTAATGATCCAAACATACAGGACCCAATACAGGAGCACCCAGATACATAAGGCAAGTTCTTAATGACTTACAAAGAGACTTAAGACTCCCACACAATAACAGTGGGAGACTTTAACACTCCACTGTCAATATTAGACAGATCAACCAGACAGAAAATCAACAAGGATATCCAGGGCTTGACCTCAGACCTGGAACAAGCAAACCTGATAGACATTTACAGAACTCTCCACCCCAAATCCACAGAATATACATTCTTCTTAGCACCACATCACACCCACTCTAAAACTGACCACATAATTGGAAGTAAAGCACTCCTCAGCAAATGCAAAACAACTGAAATCATAACAAACAGTCTCTCAGACCATAGTGCAATCAAGTTAGAACTCAGAATTCAGAAACCAACCCAGAACCACACAGCTTCATGGAAACTGAACAACTGGCTCTTGAATGGTGACTGGATAAACAATAAAATGAAGGCAGAAATAAAGAAGTTCTTCAAAACCAATGAGAACGAAGACACAACATGCCAGAATCTCTGGGACACATTTAAAGCAGTCTCTAGAGGAAAATATATAGCAATAAGTGCCCATATGAGGAGAATGGAGAGATCCAAAATTGACACCCTATCGTCAAAATTGAAAGAGCTAGAGGAGCAAGATCAAAAAAACTCAAAACCCAGCAGAAGACAAGAAATAACTAAGATCAGAGCTGAACTGAAGGAGATAGAGACATGAAAAACCCTTCAAAAAAATCAATAATTCCAAGAGCTGGTTTTTTGAAAAGATCAACAAAATAGACAAACCACTAGCCAGATTGATAAAAAAGAAAAGAGAGAAAACCAAATAGATGCAATAAAAAACGATAAAGGGGAAATCACCACAGATTCCACAGAAATTCAAACCATCATCAGAGAATATTACAAACAACTCTATGCACATAAACTAGTAAACCTGGAAGAAATGGATAAATTCCTGGACACCTGTGTCCTCCCAAGCGTAAACCAGGAGGAAGCTGAAACTATGACTAGACCAATAACGAGGTCAGAAGCCGAGGCAGCAATTAAGAGCCTACCACACAAAAAAAGCCCAGGTCCAGATGGGTTCACAGCCGAATTCTACCAGACACACAAAGAGGAGCTAATACCATTCCTTCTGAAACTATTCCAAATAATCCAAAAAGAGGGAATCCTTCCCAAATCATTTTATGAGACCAACATCATCCTGATACCAAAACCCGGCAGAGACCCAACGAGAAAAGAAAACTTCAGGCCAATATCCATGATGAACATACATGCAAAAATCTTCAATAAAATATTGGCAAGCTGACTGCAACAGCAAATCAAAAAACTTATCCATCATGATCAAGTAGGATTCATCCCGGGGATGCAAGGCTGGTTCAACATACGCAAGTCTATCAATGTAATTCACCACATAAACAGAACCAAAAACAAAAACCACATGATTATCTCAATTGATGCAGAGGAGGCATTTGACAAAATTCAACAGCCCTTTATGCTAAAAACCCTCAATAAACTCGGTATCGATGGAATGTATCTCAAAGTAATAAAAGCTATTTACGACAAACCAACAGCCAATATCATACTGAATGGGCAAAAACTGGAAGCATCCCCTTTGAAATCCAGCACTAGACAAGGATGCCCTCTCTCACCACTCCTCTTCAATATAGTACTGGAAGTTCTAGCCAGAGCAATCAGGCAAGAAAAAGAAATAAAGGGTATTCAAATAGGAAAGGAGGAAGCCAAATTGTCTCTATTTGCAGACGACATGATAGGATACCTAGAAGACCCCATCGCCTCAGCCCAAAAACTCCTGAAACTGAAAAGCAACTTCAGCAAAGTCTCAGGATATAAAATCACAAGCATTCCTCTACACCAATAACGGACTTAAAGAGAGCCAAATCAAGAACGAACTGCCATTCACAATTGCTACGAAAAGAATAAAATACCTAGGAATACAACTCACAAAAAACGTAAGGGACCTCTTCAAGGAAAACTACAAACCATTGCTCAATGAAATAAGAGAGGACACAAACAGATGGAGAAACATTCCATGTTCATGGTTAGGAAGAATCAGTATCATGAAAATGGCTATACTGCCCAAAGTAATTTACAGAATCAACGCTATTCCCGTCAAGCTACCATTGACTTTCTTCACAGAACTGGAGAAAACCACCATGAACTTCATATGGAACCAAAAGAGAGCCCACATAGCCAAGTCAATTCTAAGCAAAAAGAACACAGCGGGGGGCATCACACTACCGGATTTCAAACTATACTACAAGGCTACAGTAATCCAAACAGCATGGTTCTGGTACCAAAACAGAGATATAGACCAATGGAACAAAGCAGAGGCATCGGAGGCAACACAACATATCTACAACCATACAATCTTTGATAAACCTGACAAAAACAAACAATGGGGAAAGGATTCCCTGTTTAATAAATGGTGTTGGGAAAACTGGCTAGCCATGTGCAGAAAGCAGAAACTGGACCCCTTCCTGACACCTTACACTAAAATTAACTCCAGATGGATTAAAGACTTAAACATAAGACCTGGCACCATAAAAACCCTAGAAGGAAATCTAGGCAAAACCATCCAGGACATAGGAGTAGGCAAGGACTTCATGAACAAAACACCAAAAGCATTGGCAACAAAAGCCAAAATAGACAAATGGGACCTAATGAAACTCCACAGCTTCTGCACGGCAAAAGAAACAGTCACTAGAATGGATCGGCAACCAACAGAATGGGAAAAAATTTTTGCAGTTTCCCCATCTGACAAAGGGCTGATATAGAATTTACAAAGAACTCAAACAGATTTACAGGAAAAAAAACAAGCCCATTCAAAAATGGGCAAAGGATATGAACAGACACTTTATGAAAGAAGACATATATGAGGCCAACAATCATATGAAAAAATGCTCATCATCACTGGTCATTAGAGAGATGCAAATCAAAACCACATTGAGATACCATCTCACGGCAGTTAGAATGGCGATCATTAAAAAATCTGAAGACAACAGATGCTGGAGAGGATGTGGAGAAATAGAAACACTTTTACACTGTTGGTGGGAGTGTAAATTAGTTCAACCATTGTGGAAGACAGTGTGGCGATTCCTCAAGGCCTTAGAAATAGAAATTCCATTTGACCCAGAAATCCCATTACTGGGTATATATCCAAAGGACTATAAATCGTTCTACTACAAGGACACATGCACACGAATGTTCATTGCAGCACTGTTTACAATAGCAAAGACCTGGAACCAACCCAAATGCCCATTGATGATAGACTGGACTGGGAAAATGTGGCACGTATACACCATGGAATATTATGTAGCAATCAGAAATGATGAGTTCGTGTCGTTTGTAGGGACATGGATGAATCTGGAGAACATCATTCTCAGCAAACTGACACAAGAACAGAAAATGAAATACCGCATATTCTCACTCATAGGTGGGTGATGAAAAATGAGAACACATGGACACAGGGAGGGGAGTACTAAACACTGGGGTCTATTGGGGGGAAAAGGGGAGGGCCAGCGGGGGCGGGGAGCTGGGGAGGGATAGCCTGGGGAGAAATGCCAAATGTGGGTGAAGGGGAGAAAGGAAGCAAAACGCACTGCCATGTGTGTAGCTATGCAACTGTCTTGCATGTTCTGCACATGTACCCCAAAACCTAAAATGCAATAAAAAATAAAAAAAAAAATACAGGGGTAGAACTCACACCAGTTTCTGTATATATAAAATGACTATGGGAGGCACAAACTTACCTTTTAAAAGGTGAGTCAGGGAAAGAAAAAGAGGAAAGTCCCTTTGTTTTTCTGTATTATATACTTCTGAATTACTTGTAGTTTTTTTTTTCTTTTTGCATTGTGCTTGTATTTCCAATATATTTTGAGACAGGGAAAGGTACTTGGTAGAAAACTGAAAATTTACTAAGGAACAGAAAGCTCTAAAACACAACACTAGCCTGGTCAACACAGTGAGATCCGTCTTTACCAAAAAAAACGAACAAAAAACGGGCCCACTGTGCTGGCGCGTGCCTGTGGTCCCGGCTACTCAGGAGGCTGAGGCAGCAGGATCTCAAGTTGGGAGCTATAGCAAGCTATGATGGAGCCACTGCACTCTGGCCTGGGTGACAGAGTGAAACTGTCTCAAACAACAAAGCATTTAAACAAAACAAAATCCCAAAATCTTTCAGGGCAGTGATTACTATTTTGATTTTTCAGCTCACAGACCTTTATTTTACAGTCCTGTGTATTTGAACTTACAGTGGTCCCCATTACATTTGGCTAAAATACTTGGGTTGCTGCTTTCCCTAAAGAAACACTGTTAAGTCACATCACTAAACTTAATGGTCATGATGCATGTTAGCATAATGAAAAGTATTGCGGCCCATTAAAATATATAAACAAATTTAAAGGTTGTTTCTATGCCTGTGTCATCTTTTCTTACCTAATTAAGGATCTTTAAAAAAATCTCTGAATTATTTTTGGACTGTCATTGCCATGCAGCTTTGTTTTCTTCAACCCTGTTGGCCCTCCTGAGTCTTTGTGCTTTGGAAAGTTCTTCTCTTGTAAGATCCTCAGTCTTTCAAGGACTGCTCACTCTTTTTACCCTCTTCTTTGAAAGGAGACCTGCTCTCCTCATTCCCCCTCTTCTAGCCTGTTTGCCCACTTCACACTTCTTCCCTCAGGCCCAGGCCACAGACTTCTCCACTCCTGCCACGGGTGTCCTCCTCTTCTCCCGGGTCTGCTGTCAGCTTAGGTGACTTCCACAATGATGTTCATGACCCAGACAGCTACCTTCACAGCTTCTTGATTACCTGGTCTAAAGAACTGTCTTTCCAGCACTATATCCAAGGCCTCATAATTACAAAGCGCTATTTCACCACTAAAATTTTGAATATTAATTTTTTTTTTAAAGACAGAATCTCGGTCTGTCACCCAGGCTGGAATGCAGTGGCATGATCTCGCCTCACCACAACCTCTGCCTCCCAGGTTTTCAAGCGATTCTCCTGACTTTCAAGTAGCTGGGAATATAAATGTGTACCACCATGCCCGGCTAATTTTTGTATTTTTAGTAGAGATGGGGTTTTGCCATGTTGGCCAGGCTGGTCTCAAACTCCTGGCCTCAAGTGATCCGCCTGCCTTGGCCTCCCAAAGTGCTGGGATTACAGGCATGAGCCACTGTGCCTCACCTAAATATTAATATTCTAATCTCTGGTCACAACGTCTAAATTTGGCAGCCTTATTCTACTACAGATACTTTTAAAACCCATCATTCAAACTGTTACTCTTACAAACTCCTATTCTTCTTCCCGTCTGTCAAATAAAGTCACAGTTGACTTTTTTACCCAACCTAGACCCATACAGTATCATCATTCAGCTGCTCTCTTGCTGCTATTTCAGTGTTTAAGCTCCCTTTCTTTCTGCCAGAAGTACTAACCATGGATCCAACCAAATGCCCTCTCTGCTCCACACTTCTGTGGAACCCTAGACTTGGCAATTCCTTTATCAATGCTTGTTATCAACCACAGCATCTTTAAAGATCCTTACTTGTTAAACATCCTCCCACCCTCAGATAGCTAATATCCTACTTTGTTAAGAAAATCCTCTCCTATTCCTTTTAGAAGTAATCCCTTCAAATTCTCTTAGCCCTGTAGTGAAGAAAGAGTGAAAAGATCACCAATTTGGTACCTGACTCTTGAAAGTTTTCCATTGTAAAATTTAATCCAAAGAAATAAATCTCTGATGGTGGAATTTCAATATAGCAATAGCTGGCCCCACTCTGAGTCATACCACATGGACAAGTCTCCTAATGAAGGTGATGCCTGACCCCAGAGCAAAACTACTTTTATGAATACTTACCCACATACTCAGGGGTACCCATAATTTCTCGGAGCTCTTCACTGTTCTTCAATATTCTTGAAAGGCCAAAGTCAACGATCTTAATGTCACCCAATGGAGAGTCACTTGTCAACAGAATATTCTGAGGCTAAAAAACAACACACCCCCACAGAAATCAACACAACTCTGATTAAGCACACAAAACATGTAGCCCATAAAACATACATTTCACCTGTGAAACTGAGACTGAGGAATTTAACAGCAAACAGTCATTTATTAAAGAAATATTTTTACAATATACTTCCTATGTATAAGGCTGCAGGCCTAGTATTCTCTTATATTTTCAATATCTTCCCCTGCCCTGGCTTTTCCTCAGCATATAAACACGTTTCTGTCCCTACCTTATGGAATCCATTCCCCATGACCCTGAGTCTCCTATCCAGGCAGCACACTCACTTCCTACTATTCCCTCAAAACTCAGCTTCTTGAAAGCATGGTCTAGTACAATTGGTATCATTTCTCATTCCCACTAAATCTCCTTTACTCCCTGGACTGAATCTGACTTCATTAAGGTCACAATAACTTTAATAATTGAAGACCCACCAAATCCTGTGTCTTTCAGGGACTATTTTGTATGCAATGATTTCTGTATCACTGGGCACTGCCAAGCTCCTTACATTGTTGAAATTCCTCCCCGTTTTCTCCACGTTGGATCTCTCCTTTCTTCTACAGATCCCTCACTACTTCCTCTGTTTTCCTTCTGTTGTCCTTTTAGATATTTGTGGTGTTCAAGATCTCTTGCGGCATGGCCCTCTTCCCCCACCACTCTGCATTCTATTTTTGAGCAATTTCATTTTCTTCCAAAGCTTCAGCTGCCACTTATATACTGATAACTTCTACCCTAAGTCCTCTCCAGACTTATGAGTGGGGATATGTGGGGTGATGACACATACAGTAATGGGAAAGAGCTCCCCAGAGCCACAGAATCAGTGAGGTTCATATCCCTAGAGTCATTTTTACCCAATGGAAAATAACCTAAGATACTTTCACTATAAAAAGACAAGCAAATATATTATGGACTAGAATGTAAAATTCATTAAATTTTTAAAACACGAAATGTGAAAGAAAAGTTTGTGTTTGCATTATAAAGCGTCCTCACTTAGTTTCCTGCCATTAAGAATATTCCCAAAGGTAAGCTGAGAAACATCGGTAAATTACAAATATTTCACTACAACACCCTGTGTTTTATGATTGGGCCCCTGCTTCCTTTTCAAGATTAATTTCCTGTCATGGCTCCAAAGGCAATCTGGGCTCCAAATCAAACAGTCTGTAATCGGTAAATAAGACAGCCACTCCCACATCTCATGCCTTTGCATGTGTACCGTCTTTGCTCAGGACATCCTCTCTCTTCCTCTCCCTGACAAATTTATTCTCATCCCTCACTCCGTGCATGATGGGTCTCAATAAAGCACCAATTCTTGTGCAAAGCCTGTCCTGGCCTCCCCTGCTCCTTCCAGGGTGGGCTTGATGGCTGCCCCGTCCCTACTTCACAGCATGGATACACAGCATGCTTAATCCATTGTTTTGTTAGCTGTTTATGTTTCTGTCTCCATCACATTGGTCCCCTAGATGTATAGAATGAATGCTCACATTTCCTTTCCTTCCATTCATATTCTGCATCTCCATCTGATGTTTGTCCTCTCCTTCTACTACAAATCACAAAATCCAGTGATATTTTTCAATGCTTTCTTCTGGACTACTCCCTTAGCAGTGTTTGACACACTTAACGACTCCTTCCTTGTTTACATATTATTTTTCTCTTGGCTCCCATGACAAAACACTCTCCTGGCTTTCTTCCTATCTCTGGCTGCATCTTCCATCTCCTCTGATAGGCAGCCTTCTTTTACCTGGTCCACTGGATGCTGGGTTTGTCAAGGCTTGATCTTGAGACCTTTCCTCTTTTTACTGCACACTCTCACCTTGCATGATCTGCACCCAAGGCTTAAATATCACCTACAGCTTATGACTCACAATTTTTTTCTCTCTTTTGGATCTCTTCAACCAGCTGCTTATCTATTATCTCCCCTTTGATGTCTCAAAGGTACCTCAAATTCAACATGACCAAAGTCAGACTCCTATTTTCCTTCCTAAATCAGATTCTCACTATGCCAATGACAGGTGTCTCAGTGAATGCTATGATCATACCTCTGAATAGGAGAGAACAATCATCTTGGCCATTCCTTTCCTCCCTTCTCTTCCATTTAGCTAACATGTCACCATAGTTGATTTTAAATACTAAATTCTAAGCATTTCTAGACTTTGCCTTTTTCTCTCATCTACAGAAAATTAAACCTACCTTTCTTCCTCTATTGCAATGGCCTCTTCAATGGTTTGCTGGGATCTGTTTCACCTACATTGCAGCTGGAAGGCTCTTTTGTATTATATAAATTGGATCTGTTGTCCCCTTTCCTAAACCCTTCCACAGCTTCCCACTGCTCTTAGATAACCTCCAAACTCCTTCGCATGACGTGCATGTCCTGAGGTCCAGCTTCTGCCTAGCTAGCTCTCCAGACTCATCACATGCCATGATCCCCTTGGCTCCATGAAACTGGGTCCCATAGGACATTTTCCAGTTTCTCATACTTGCCATGCTCTCTCTCTCACAAGAGTGAATCTGTATATGTATTCTCTCAGTCTAGAACACTTTTCTGTTCTTCTTTGCCTAGTCTCAACTCGGTGAGAAAACCTAAGATGGTAGTGAGGCAGATTACAATTCCCATCGATGAGAAGGGCTGCAATATGAAAAAGAAAACTGAGTCATAGATGGTCCCTCTTTTTACAAAGGGTCTTACCATCTACCCAACTGTCTATCCTACCGTTTTCTATTATGAAAATGCCTGTAGGTTTATCAGTCTGAATTCAGAATGGGAAGAATCTACACCTTCATGAGGACAGAAACCACAGTACTGATTACTCTTTTATCACTGTGATCAGTGCCTGCCACACATTAATATTTGTTGGGTGAATAAATGGAAGAAACGTAACTATAAAAAAATTAAGAGCGTGTCTATTTTGTGTCAGGACAAGTGGTAGTATAATTTTAGCAATAAGATTGCCCTATTGTCAGAGTTTATAATCAAGAGAAAATAGATGGACCTGCCAGGCTCAACTCACTCTTCTGTGCCTTGCACCATATACAAAGTGCTCAGGCAATAAATATATCAGAGTGGTTAATTCTGCCTTGGAAAATTACAGAGGAGATATGGGAGCAGACCCTGAAGGGTAGAAAGATTTCCTAATTTACTCAACAAAAATTTACTGATGCCTAATGAGCTAGGCCCTGGGGAAATAAGAGAAAACAAGACTTGAGTCCTGTCTTTTGGAGCCTTACATTTTAACGGAGACAAATAAGTACACCTCAAGTCGCTTTAAGCACTAGGGGGAACTCAAAGCAGGGTGATAGGCAAGAGTGGTTACTTGGGGTGTGTGTATGGACATGATATCTTTAGGGGAGTCAGAGAAGGCCTCTCTAAGAAGGCAACCTGAAGGAGGAAAGGACGATGCTACAAAAGAGCCAGTCATGGCTCAGTGTCCTGGAGGTTTGGGGTATGCAGGAGGCATTCCATGCAGGAGGAGCAGCAAGTAGAGGCCCTACTGCCATGGAGCATTTGCAGGAAGTCCTGTGTGGCTGGAGGACAGCACAAGCCAATAGGGGTAGGCTGGTGGGAGGCATGAAGTCGGAAAGGAAATGGCTGGGAGCTCACAAGGCTCCGTCAGCTATCCTGGAGTAAATGGCAGAAGGCAGGCCACATTTTCTTTGTTAATGAGCTTCTAGTTGATTCTTCAGGAACAAAACACCTATGTAGCATCATGACTATGAGTCCTCAGACTTTTCAAGGCAATTTTAGTTTTAGTAAGTTAATAAAATACTATAGTACAACAAAGGGGCTGGGTGCAGTGGCTCATGTCTGTAGTCCCAGCAATTTGGGAGGCCGAGGTGAGTGGATTGTTTGAGCTCAGGAGTTCAAGACCAGCCAGCACAACATGATGAAAACCTGTCTCTACCAAAACCACAAAAAATTAGCCATGCATGGTGGTACGAACCTGTAGTCCCAGCTCCTTGGGAGGCCAAGAGAGGAGGATCACTTGAGCCTGGGAGGCAGAGATTGTAGTGAGCTGAGAGAGTGCTACTGCACTCCAATCTGGGTAACAGAGTGAGACCCCTTCTCAAGAAAAAACCAAACCAAACCAAAAACAAACAAACAACTGTAGTACAACAAAATGTCAGTTATTCAGGCAAACTCAATAGGAGGGGTTTGGTTCAGTGATACGTATTTGTAATTGAATGTTTTGCCCTTTCTAGTACACACAAAATGCCAAGTGAAATACTGCTAGGGGAAATCGTCACCAAATCTTGAGATTTTCTTGTGATTAGTAAACATGTACATTCTATGAATGTTCTTAAATACCATTTGTTCCTTTAAAATATTTTAAATGTTTTCCCCTTTTATGTATTTACCCTTTACATTCCCTGAGAAATGCTTTCTTTAGTTACTATGCAAAAACTAATTGGTTTGGTGGTAATGTTGTAAATCCTAAATTAGCGTGATCAAATTATAAGAATTTTATTGTATCAGAAATCTAGGCACAGTTATAAGCATCTATGAAACACTAATGTGAGAGACTTTCTGAAAATGAAGTTAAACAATTGAGAGAGAGGTTGCTAAAAACAACACATTTCTCATAAAATCAGTTATTTCATGAGATTTCACAGTTAATATTTATTATGTGGCTTTTTCCAACTATGCCCTATTTTGACCACAGGCCTATTTTAAAAAATAGATCTTGCTTCTCTAAATAAAATTTAAGTACAATTACAGGACTATAATCTGTCAGTTCTTGGATGGTGAAATAGATCTCCTTCCAATAAGCTGAAATATGGTATCTTGAAAACTAAGCTAAGTACCTCAGCATTTACCTCAGCAATTACAACACTTCCTTTCCAGGGAATCCAGTTCATGATAAAAAAAAGTTGTGGCACACAAAATCTAGTTTTATTTAAAATGCATGAATACCAGGCAGTAAGGGAGAGAAAGCAGCAAGGTCAATCAACAGAGAGGTGATGACAGTGGAATAAGCAGAGAAGCTGCAGATGGTCCTTAAAGAGACAGAGGCTGTAGGGAAGTCTTACTTATCTTGGTATCTTCATCTTTGTACATAAACCATTTGACAGTTACTGAATAATCACCACTGGAGAAGACTTAGTGGCTAAGATCATTGTAAAATTGAGGTTAACCTGCTCAATAAGGCTTAAGGTATCATGTACAGGGTTTTAAGAAACATTTTATCAGACAATTAAAGTTCCAGTACATTAACTATTAAAACCCAGGTTAGAGTAGAGAAATAGATTAATATTCCTGTCTAAATTAATTTGGGGGACTGTTTAGAAATGCTGTTGTTACCCCTGCTTTCAAGTAATATACTGATGCTTAAATTTAATACTCATATAGAAAGTCCCAGCTTCTGGCCACTTTTTTTGAAATTAATTTTTAGAAATTAATGTTTTAATAAAAAGTTTTTGTTTCCCCAGGCTGGAATGCAGGGGTGCAATCATAGCTCACTGCACCCTCGAACTCCTGAGCTCAAGCAATCCTCCTGCCTCAGCTTCCTCTGTAGCCGGGACTACAGGCATATGCCACCATGCCCAGCTAATTTATGTATTTTTAGTAGAGATGGGGTTTCACCATTTTGGCCAGGGTGGTCTCGACCTCTTGACCTTGTGATCTGCCCACTTCGGCCTCCCAAAGTGCTGGGATTACAGTTGTGAACCACTGCACTGGCCGATTTTTAAATTTTTTGCAGAGATGAGGTCTCACTATGTTGCCTAGCCTAAACTCAAACTTCTGGGCTCAAGTGGTCCTTCTCTCACCCTCCAGAAGTGCTGGGATTGCAGCTGTGAGCCACCACACCTGGCCTTTTTCTAGTTTACTTTTAACCATGAGCATAACTGGGTGGAAAAGTCAGTGATAGGATCTTAGTATAGTTGTTCCTTGGTATCTGGAGGGGACTGGTTCAGGGACTCCTTGCAGACACACAATCTGCGATGGTCTAGTCCCTGATATGAAATGTTGTAGTATTTGCATATAACCTGCACACACCCTCTTGTATACTTTCAATCATCTCTAAGTTACTCAGAATAGCTATTACAATGCCACACATCACCTCATTTGTGTGGATTTAATGGAGTACTTGGTGGGGGGCCAATTCAAGTTTAGCATTTTGGAACTTTGTGGAATTCTTTTTCCCCCTGAATATTTGCAACCTGTGGTTGGTTGAATCCATGGATGCAGAGGGCTGACTGTACTGACACTGCTGAAATACTGAATCAGTACAACACCATTTGAAGAAAAAAGAGCATTGGATTTTAAGACCAGTTTTCTTTGTGCTATTTTCGGTCAGTCCTCCCTCCTTCTGACTGGAGTAAAACCAGGCCACTCTGCTGAATGACTAATTCACCGAATTATTGAGACTGTTTTGGTACTTTTAGTTGGTTTTGTTCTGACTTTGCTAGAGTTGTTGTTTCTCAGATTTGCAATTCCTGCAACATTTTATATATTAAATGAATGGGCTTTCTCTTAATCACGGTTTGTCTTTTCTATTTTTGTGGATTTATGGACTCATAATTTTATGGACTGCTACATCTGCATCTGCTATCTCCTCCCCAATCCCAAGAATTTTCCCAGTTCAATTTAAGATATTTGGCTGAGAGTCTTCAATGAATCAATCTTTTGACAAATTGATCATTCAGGCTCTGCACCGAAGCCAAACAGTGTATTTCCCATAGCGTCAATTATATCCTTAATAGAAGTAACTATAATAGTTTTTGTTTTGTTTTGTTTTTGTTTTTAAGATGGAGTTTCGCTCATTACCCAGGCTGGAGTGCAATGGCGCGATCTCGGCTCACCGCAACCTCCACCTCCTGGGTTCAGGCAATTCTCCTGCCTCAGCCTCCTGAGTAGCTAGGATTACAGACACGCACCACCATGCCCAGCTAATTTTTGTATTTTTTTTTTTTTTTAGTAGAGACAGGGTTTCACCATGTTGACCAGGATGGTCTCGATCTCTTGACTGCATGATCTACCCGCCTCGGCCTCCCAAAGTTCTGGGATTACAGGCGTGAGCCACTGCGCCCGGCCCCCTATAGTAGTTATTTTACCTTCCAACTAACTTCTGTCACTAGGACAGGAATTTCCCATTTTAACCAGCATGGAGACTAAATAGTCTAATAATTCAAATTACCATATATATTGGGATTATAAATTTTCAGAGAATGAAAACATATTTAGCTTTGAATCAATGTGGAAAAATAATTTTAAAAAAATAGTCTAGTTTTTCAAGCTCTTCTAGAGACCAAGAGTCAACATTATAAGCACACACTGTTGAAGGCAGAGGATAGCAGACTCACTTCGTCCAGACTCACAGAAGCAACTGGAAATGACCTTTTGGTAGAAATCACTCCTACCTGCATGGCTGCCACACCAACCCCACCTCTATCCTCTCCCTCCAATAGCTGACTCAGAGACATGTCTAACTACACATGGAGGGGCACGAGGGCAGAAGGAAGGCTGAGAACCCTTTGGACCACTTTATCTTCCAGTTCCTCTGGGTTGAGGAAAGGTGGAAAGTTCAGTTTCCAACATCAAAGCTCCATCATCATCATCATCGTCAAGACCTCCTCTATTAAATCTGGAAAGAATTCTATACCAAGTGTATTAGAGAGAAAGGAATGTGACTGATACTGAATGTAGTGGGGAGAAAGGGATGTAATTTCCTTGTGCAAATACACAGTTAAACTTGGCATTCAAGAACTTAAGTCACCTCTGATGCTCTCAAGTAACATCAAAGATCCATGACACATGGCGTTGACAACCTGTTTGACTTGCTACTTAATTAGTTCTTGAACAGTCACAGGTTGAACTCTCATAAGCTGAAAGCTCATTTCCTGTAGGTGCAATGCTATTTAAATTGGGGTTCTGTTCCTGGAAGTCCATCATAAGACTAGTAAAACATTATTCAAAAATAAAATAGATATATGGTTTTGCAAAGTTAAGAGTGTAAAACCGAGCATATAAGAAGCTATAGTATAAACATTTCTTTTGGGAATTCTTCTGCATGGCTAATACCGAGGCTTCTTAAAGTATCAGCCCAGTGAAAGTCTGGACTGCAGAGATGATCTCTTTCTTGTAAATGTTCCCAAGGGAAGCAGGGAGGAAATTTCTTGCAGCAAGGATCTTTGAACTTCTTATGCATATGACAGACTGAAGGAGAAAAGCAAAGTCCCATTCAAGCTATGAAAGGTTTTAACTAGGTAATCTTCAGCATTAGCATCAGGTCACCTCAAGCATTCATATCCCTGGGCTACATGTGGGTTTGCACATGTCTACACTCACTTTCAAAAAATAGTACTGTGTACCATGTGGCTACTGGGTCTTGAGTGTCCATTTTAGCCATGGTATTAAGGTATTAAAAATTAATACCTTTGAGAAAAGATAAATGTGTATAAAATGAATTTACATTGGCATATTTCAAAAGAGAACAAGAAACCTTCCACATTGTTTTCTTTTCCCTGTATTTTTCTGTAGGAAACTCATAAATTTTTTAGTAGGAAACTAGTATTTAAAAAGAAACTACCCTTCCACCTAAAATCAAATGGGACATTAAAAAATTTGCTTTAGAAGTCAACCTCCAGATTACACACACTGTTCACCATTCTTTTTTTTTTTTTTTTTTTTGAGACAGAGTCTCGTTCTGTCATCCAGGCTGCAGTGCAGTGGCACAATCTCAGCTGACTGCAACTGTCACCTCCCGGGTTCAAGTGATTCTCCTGCCTCAGTCTTCTGCGTAGCTGGGATTACAGGTGCCTGTTAATTTTTGTATTTTTAGTAGAGATGGGGTTTCACCATATTGGCCAGGCTGGTCTCGAACTCCTGAACAAGTGATCTGCCCTCCTTGGCCTCCCAAAGTGCTGAGAGTACAGGCATGAGCCACCGTGCCCGGACTGTACACTCTTTCTGAGAGTGTGCCTTCATGCAATAAAAATTAAGCATTTATACAGTATTAAATATATACACAAATGAATTTATATTTATACGGTATGACTAAATAAACAAAGGCATTATGAAATGTGCCATACAGCAATTTTTTTTTTTTTTTTTTGAGACGAAGTCTCATTCTGTTGCCCAGGCTGGAGTGCAATGGTGTTATCTCGGCTCACTGCAACCTCCACCTCCCAGGTTCAATCAATTCTCCCACCTCAGCCTCTGGAGTAGTTGGGACTATAGGCGTGCACCAACATGCTGGCTAATTTTTTGCATTTTTAGTAAAGATGGGATTTCACCATGTCGGGCAGGCTGGTCTTGAACTCCTGACCTCAAGTGATCTGCCTTCCTTGGCCTCCCAAAGTGCTGGGATTACGGGCATGAGCCACCACACCTGGCCATATAGCAGTTCTTAAAGTGGCCCCTGGCCTGAAGTGTCAGCATCACCTTGCTCTATCCTGAATCAGAAACTTTAGGGTTGTGGCCTAGCAATTTGTTTTAACAAGCCCTTCCAGGTGATTCTGACTCATTCTGAGTCAGAGAACCACTGCCATAAAGCATTTACTTTCTGCTAGAGGGGATATTGCAGCAGAGGTCAAGATAGATTAGTTGATGATTGTGGTGTGAGATGACACTGCAGTTCAGGATGGGAAAGTTTCTTCTGGTGGAGGGAGGGGGATCCAGAGGCTTTGGGCTTCTCAGGTTACCTTCCTTCATAACCCTATTTCCTTTTAGGCCATTTTTTAACTGGAATAAATCATAGAAACTAGGGTTGCTGTGGCACATTCTCTGTTTGAGGACTGTTTCATTTTCCCACAGTTGCACCTGGACTTGATATGAAAGTAACCATTAGAAAATTAACAGAGATCTTAAACTTGCCTACCATAGACACCTGCATCCTTTCCCCACTCAGTCCACATAAAGGTTGGAATGGCAGAAAGGGTTATACCTCTCCCCCCAGAGTCGGAGCCTATGACACTGATGACACTGGCATGGCAAGTCAAAGTCCTACACCCACCAGCACACCTACTAATTCGTTCCAGATTGGTCTACACTGGTGTAATCAGAGCGAATCTCAGAATTTTGGAAAGAGTTGTGAGTTGAGACTGACTTTCCTGCTGAGTCTCTAGGCAGCTGTGAGGCTTGAACAGCAGCATCTACTTTATTACCATCTTATTGTCATTCAAAGAAGGCAGAGCTGAATGCTGGAGAAAAACTAGCAACAGTTTTTTTTTTTGTTGCTGTTGTTTTGTTTTTTTGAGATGGAGTCTCACTCTATCGCCCAGGCTGGAGTGCAATGGTTCACTATAACCTCTGCCTCCCGGGTTCAAGTGATTCTCCTGCCTTAGCCTCCTAAGTAGCTGGGATTACAGGTGTGTGCCACCACACCCGGCTAATTTTTGTATATTTAATAGAGACTGGGTTTCACCATGTTGGGCAGGCTGGTCTTCAACTCCTTAAGTGCCTCCCAAAGTGCTAGGATTACAGGCGTAAGCCACTGTGCTGGGCCCTAGCAACAGTTTTTAAGCCACTGTGCTGGGCCCTAGCAACAGTTTTTGAGCCCTGAATATTGTCATAACTGAAGCTAGAATTATCCCTGGACTTGTTTGCCACTAAAATTTCCTTGTTTTGCTTATTCTGGTTTCAGCTGGCATCTTGATCACTTGAAAGGAACATAACTGATATACTGTTCTTTTTCTTTCCTTCCTCTTCTCTGCCTTTGACAATTTTAAATTAGAAATCTACCTGCCTCTAATCTCTTTCTCTCATTTATTTACTGCTGCCTATTTCCCAAAACACTGCTTCTCGAATATTCCTGGCTCAAAAATCATCTATGTCTTCATGACATATGAAACCCCTAGAATCCAGCCTTTCCACAGCTTTTAATATCTCCTAATTGATCTCTCAATTCCAGTGAAATGATTCCATTTATTTTTATCCCAAATATTCCTAAGTCTTGAGATAATTTTCTCTGACTATTCTCAACTTGTCTAAATCCTAACTTTTAAAAATTTCTACCTCAAGTTGTGTCTTGTCATATTCTGAGTTCCTTTTTTTGGCATTGTATTATTATATATCCTTCCATGTACACACGTGTGCATTATCTCCCTGATAAAACTAACTGGCTAGAGGATAGGAATAAAGACTCAATTCTAATATCCTTGTTCCCTAATAATACACAAACGTGATACATGTTTGAATAAATCACTGTTAAATATTTTATGTCTTGAGTTTCATTCTTTAGCAATCTCAAAGTTGTAATTTGAATCTTACCTTCAAATCAAGATGAACTACATCATGAGTGTGTAAAAAGTGAACACCTTCTAGAATCTGTCGCATAAGTCTTTGAACATCTTTTTCTTTAAAGGCTTCTTCTCTGTCTGCAACACACTGGTCAAAGATTTCACCCCCAGCAGCACTAGAGAACGGTAAAATTAAAGTAATATATAACTCAGAAGAAATGGCAAACACACTAAAATTACAGAGCAAGTTAATTACAGTCTGGCAGTAACTGTATACTTTTTAAAAAATTTATTTTTATTT